CTATGAAAAACATCCTAAAGGAAGTTCTGTGGACTGAGAACCAATAATAACAGACAACAGCTACAGAATGACATACGTGGCAGCATCAACCTGAACTCAAGTCGACAAATGGAAGAGTCAAGAACAGAATAAAATTAAAAGAACAGAGGATCTGGGAGGGCAAAACAATGACAATGTAAAAGGATGTAAATGTAGAGGAACAGAGATCCAGGTGGTGGGAAGGTTGGGTAGATTACAGGATAAAACAGTCGGTCTTTTGAGTTATGGTGTTGGAGGATAATATTAAAAGTGCCATGGGCTGCCAAAAGAACAAACAGATCTGTGTTGGAAGAAGTACAGGCAGAGTGCTCCTTGGAGGCCACGGTGGCCTAACTTTGTCTCTCATACTTCGGACCTATTGTCAGGGGGTACTATTTGTTGTAGAAGAATACCATGTTTGCTAAGATGGAGTGTCAGAGAAAAAGAGGAAGACCTCCAGCAAGATGAATTGGCAAAGTGGCAGCATCAATGGGCTCAAGCATGGCAACAATTGTGAGGCTGGCCCTTGACCAGACAGTGTTTAATTCTGTTGTGCATAGGGTCGCTATGATGGCATAGCAACAACAACAAAGGAGTTTCTTATTGAGGCAAAGCTCCAGGTGGTGGCAGGACAGGCTTAATTTTCTGCACATCCCAGAGGGAGGGAGGTAAACATAGGTGGCTTTGTTTCAGGTCCCCAGATTTCCAAGTCCACCCTAGCAAGTGTCATATAAACGTGACAGAGCAAGCAAAGTGAGGGTTGCTATGTGTTTGAACTGAGTCAACAAAAGTTTGTTGTTAAATGCCATTGTGAGTGGATTCTGATTAATAATGACCCTGTATAGATAGGGTTTCCAAGGAGCAGTTGGTGGGTTTGAACTGCTGACCTGTGATTTTCATCCTACAGTGCTATGAAGGTTGTTATTGTTAAGTGCCATGCAGATTTAAAATCTGATGTGATGGACTGAATGTATTAAAGAATACTAATTTCTTTCACATTTGTTTTTATTTTTTCAGGAAACAATTTTCCCATCCCAAATCACTAATGAGCATGAGTCATTGATAATGGTGAAGAAACTCTTTGCTACTTCTATCTCATGTATAATGTATATAAGGGGCCTATTTCCAGAGAGCTCTTATGGAGAACGCCATTTAGAGGGTAAAGTTTAAACAGTTACTTTATCTATTGTAGTGCTCTCTCTATTTGGCAGGAGTAAATCATTGATTTCTCACAAAGTGTGCTAATTCCAAACTATGGTTCTATTCTCCAAGATCAATACTAATTAGTTTTCCATTTTAATTTCACCATCCAGGTGTAGTGATTTCACTAGTAGGAACTGTTAGTTCCTGACCAATAATCCTAAACTGTGACTCCAAAAGCAGTAGCCAGATCAGTATCTATTTGCATTCCATAGATTTGCACTATTTTTGCAATTGAATTTGTTCTTTGAGGTAGGCATACTTTTTTTTTTTTTAATAAAAAAAATTGTATTTACTTAGAAGCATTCAGAATGTCAACAAAACAGCTGCAACTTTTTTGTTTACAATTACAGAGTGCTATTCAGTTAATAGAACATTTATTTCATATAAGCTGCATCAGACAACTGAAGATGAAACAAAACAAAACAAAACAAAAACTGCCATCCCCATATATCACTAATTTGTGCTGTGCACCAACAAGAACCTGCTTTAAATTTCCATGCCAATTTACAACCCCCATACTGTACCAGGCAAGGTTAGTGGCTATTGAAAATACCACCAGGACAGGGCTAGCTAAAGACACATTCGGTAGTATGTTAACTATACAAAAAAAGACACTACAGTTTAAAAACAAATCTTACACAGCCTTACATTTCAATTCATTTTTTTTTTTTTTTCTTTAAAAGGAGTGAGTTGTGTACAGGGGGTTTAAATGCTTTATAGACAAAAAAAAAAAACAACAACAAAAAAAAAAACCTGCGCTAGAACCAACTTATTCATCATCATCATCTTTCTTCATCTTCATCTTCTTCGTCTTCCTCCACTTCTTCATCTTCCTCCTCTTCCTTCTTTTTCTTGCTTTTCTCGGCCTTGACGACTCCCTTTTTGGCTGCATCGGGCTTTCCTTTAGCCCCTTAGGCAGCGGTATCCTTTTCGTACTTCTCCTTCACTTTAGCAGCCTTCTGCTTATAAGGCTGCTTTTCATCAACATCAGTGTTATTCCACATTTCTTCCAGTTTCTTTGCAACATCACCAATGGATAGGCCACAATGCTCGCCTTTGATTTTGGGGCGATACGCCGAACAAAACAAGAAGAAGGCCGAAGGAGGCCTCTTGGGTACATTGGGATCCTTAAACTTCTTTTTTCTCTCCCCTTTAGGCGGGATATAGGTTTTCATTTCTCTTTCATAACGGGCCCTGTCCTCCTTTGCCACGTCTTCAAATTTTCCTTTCTCTTTAACAGACATGGTTTTCCACCGCTCTGAGCACTTATTGGAAAATTCTGAGAAGTTGACTGAATCATCTGGGTGCTTCCTGTGCTCCTCTCCGCAGGTTTGCACAGAAAATGCATAGGATGACATTTTGCCTCTTGACTTCTTAGGATCTCCTTTGCCCATGTTTAGTTATTATTTTTTTCCCTTCAGAGTTCCATAAAGACGGGTTTGCTCCTTGCAGAAAGTGATAGGGGGGCAGCGATTCTGTTTTCAAAACACCCCTTTTCAGGGCTCAGAGGTCCAAGTGACGGCTTGCTGATCTCCTGAAATTTTGGCTCACCCAGCAGCCATAAAGTTTCACCCTTTTTCTCGAGGTAGGCATACTTTTTTTT